CAGAAAATATTCTTAGCTTCATCACTGTGTGAATGCCCATTAGGGTGGTATCTGCTCAGGCCTCTAAACTTGGACTCCATGTCTCTCTCCTGAACTGGTCTTACCTGCTTCCCTATGTCACTTGTCCACACCTCAGTCAGCCCTCAAGCTGGATTGCTCAGACCAAGCTCCAGACTCTGTGCCACAGGCCTCTGATTCTCTTCTCAGTGCCTCTGACCCCACGCCCAGCCCTACTCTACTTTCCTCATCATGGTTTCTCAACCTGTGTCCCTGTCACTGTTCACAATTGTACAGCTCACATTCTGAATGTTGATATTTGCTGAAGTGCAGCACCAAACCATTCTACAATGATCTTTAAGCTCTCATTTAAGATTTACTTTGAACAGATCTCCAGACATATGCAACATTAAAATTTACATACCTATGTCACAAGAAGGTTGAAAATAATGCATATTTCCTGCATGGTTGGGCATTCCTTCCATGTGCTCACTCTGGTAATGACCAATAAGACACAAAGGCAGACAGAAAAATGGCCAAAATAATGTCAAGAATAACTCTGCTCAAAGGGCATGAAATCTATGATGGCCTTGCAATAAAAGAGCTTAAAATAGGTTAGCTTGTTCCTATAAATTTGTTCACTGTCAGCAAAAAATAATATAATCCCTAAAGTAATGAAATAGGAAATATGAATAACAATAAAACATTTAAGGCTTTATTAATTACCTTATGTTGTTTATAAACAGACAGTACATGTGTGACATTACTGACTCTTCTGGGCTTACGCTTGCTAAGCGCTCACTGTACTTGAAACTCAGCACTAACTCACATAAGCGTTATTGTGTTTCCCAGGTTATTCTCTCACTGGGGAGCTGAAGACCAGGTTGTTTAACTCAGGGTCTATCTAGGTAGATTAAATTCCCACCCAGCCTTGTCCCAATTCCCGAATTAATCTTGAATTGGGTAAGAAATAATAAACAAGCTTACATTGGCCTTGCTTCCCTAATCACCCCATCCAAACTGACTGGATTAGTCACACCTTTTTCCATGGTCTCTACATGGATGGCATTGGTACCCGAATTCTCAACAAAACATTCGCAGCCCGTCTCTCCGGTCTGTCAATCTGGAGCCTAGGTCCCCAGCCTCTGTTCTAGCAGTCTTTCCTGCAGCTTTGGCTCAGCCACCACACAGAAGGCCCTGGGTCCCCTGCCACCCCTCCTCTGGGTTCTCAAGCACCTGGGGCTTGCCAACTGGAGAACAGGATTTTCGGATACCAGCTGCCTGATTGGTACATCCTGCACTCTGTCCACATTCCCAGAGCAATGTTTTGACCCTTTAGAACAGTATCTCGGCCTCCCTGAGACAGAGCCCTCCAAAAGGGACCTCATCACTGCTGGCCGTGAGCCTGAACCCCGGCACAGTCCCCTCTCAGACAGTGGCTCTCATGTCAGTCTGGATCCTTCCTTCTTATCATGAATTAAGAAGAAAAGGACTGTCCTCCTTTAACCTGTAAGTTTTCAGTTGGCTTCCTTATGATGATTACTTTGAGTTTTGATGTCTTTGGTTTAGTGGCTGAGCACATCTCCATCCCCTCCCCGCCCTCTTCCTTTTCCTCTCCTGCCACCCCTCTCCCGACCCCGACCCTGAGCACTGCAGAACAACTCCGGGAGCCATCAGTAGGGCTCCTGCACTCAGCAGCTTTCCCAGGGTGCTCTGGAGTTGCTGAGAGAAATGAAACCGTTTAAAGAAATGGTCACATTTTGTGGTCGTAAGTTCCCTTTGTAAATGCCCTGAGACATAGTTAAACAATTTCTCCCTTAGCTTGCAGTTCACAATGACACTCCTGATGTGTGGCCATCCCCCAACCCCATCTGGGGATGCTGGGTGAGAGCCACCCTCAATCCTAGCCCGGTCTCTAAACTCAAGAATCTGGTAAGGAACAAGGCAACTGACCCTCGCTGTTCTCCTATTTCCCTCCAACAGAGCACAGGAAAACCTTCAAGTTGATTCCCCAAGACAGCCCGCACTCTACCCTAGTTTCTTAAAGAGTTATAACGAGGATCTATGAGCTCTGTAATTTGTCTTTATTTTGGTTTAAATTAATGGCACTGAATTCTCTTACACTTGGCAAAGTAGAGGTGGCTATACATCGGCAAAAAAAGGACCAACATTTTAAAATCTTGTAGGAACTAGATAAATTTTAGTGATTTTTAAAACAATGTAGAGTATTTCTGTAGTTCCTTGGCCATCTGGTCTTTTTCACCAAATACATCCATCTTTCCTAATATCAAAAGGTAGTAAAGGCTTTACATGTAAGACTCATAATGGTGATAGTAATGATCATGAGAATAATAATTTATATGATCTCTACTGGCTGCCAAGTACTGTACTAAGTACTTTATGTGCGTCAACTCCTTAAATTCTCAGAAGAACAGTCTGCAGTATGTATGATTGTTCCCTGTCCTTAGTTAAGAAAACTGAGTTGAGCAGAGGTTAAGAAACTTGGCCGAGGCCAGCTAGTAAGTGGCAGAACAGAAATTTACACCTGGCCCATCTTTCATACCTGTGAAGACGCACACAACTCGATAAATCGCAGTTGTGATGGTCCTGGAGTCCTCCTGATGAGCACTGACTGGAACGGAGTTAGAAATGCCTTTCAACTGTTTCATGGAAAAGCACTGACATTAAAATGTGGCCTTTGTGCTCTGTATGGGGCACATACTTTTGGCTCTGAACATCATTTGAATAAGAACTTGCAAATAATTTGAGCAATTGTAACTTCGAAATCTTGATGTACTATTCCACAAATAGATCACTATTAACCTCGACATTCCATTTTTTAAATGTTCAACTTCATTGTTACACGAATAATTTTCTCTTACAGTTATGATAGCATCCATATGCTCTTTCTTCTCTTTTTATTTTGGTTCTTTGACACTTTGGGAAACATGCGATAAGACAGCTTATAGTATGATTAACAGATGAGAACACACAGCATTTCTCTGCTCTCTCTTTTTCCTGAAGACATCATGTTCTCTTGCAGTTTCTCCTTTATCCCTCTCCATTGATCTCAAATTTTCTTCCTCTATTATTTTGACAATATTGAAATGGTTGAGAAAAAGATTCAGGTCATATAAGTACCCTAAATTTTGTCTTTCTAGCCTTCAAAGGAATTTTTCATGAAAAGTTAAAAGTAACTTAAAAACTCATTGATATTGTTCATTAATATGTTGTCACAGAGTCTAAGCTACTGTCTCTTTTACAGGCAACATAATTACAAGTGAATTACAAATGCAGACTTTATGACTCCAATTAAACTCTAGGCCACAATCCATTAAAAACAGATTATACACATTACATTAGATGTAAGGAAAAATAAACATCCCACATGATTTGAGCTATCAAAATAAATGAGCCACAATTTCAAATAATTTGTCTAAAATTTTTATCAACATAACCTAAAATATTTTCTCAAAAATCATCAGAGAAAAAAATTCTCATACTTATCATATATGTATATATCATATGTTCTCCTAATTATTTCATTATTTCATTCTACCCCAAGAACATCTTTGAAAGACGTGAGAAGCTGGAAGAGATTCTACTGTTTAGTTATAAGAACAATAGCTTTTTTTGTATGTTTTAAGAGTATTAGAATTAAACTCAAATATAATTAATTTTAGGGATTTTATTTTGTAAGAATCAAATCAAGTGACTAAAAATTAATTTGAAGCCAATTAAAATCTCAGCATCACCGTAAAATTGCTTAAGAGAGTGGATCTTAAGAAAATGTCATCAAGGACCGTTACACCTCAGTCTTCACACTAGAGAGACATTCACCTCTGAACTGTTTTCTCCGTAAGTTTTGAATGCCTATGGACTGGGTTACTAGGAAAAGTGGCTTTCTGAATAGTGTGTCTATAAAGTTTGATTCTACCTGATCCTCACCCCCATCTGTCAGCTCCCACTTCTCCAGTGAATTATGAAGGGATAAGAATTATGCCAGCTTCATTCTAGCATCACTGACATGGGCAAGCACACAACAAAGCAGAGGGAAAGAAGCCGAAACAAAGCAAAAATATGCTCAGGCAAGAATACCCTAGAGTACTGAGAAGTTCACAAGAAAACAAACCAGCAAAAAGAGTATTTCAAATAGAAGATTAAGGACCAATTCAAACAAAGTAATTTGAAGCTGTTATGTAAAAGAAAATGAGATCATTTAGCACAGGTGTTCAAAGATTTTGAGGAGGTTTTGATGTTTCTGGGAGGAGGTGATATTCCTGATAGTAACATTTCAAAGCAGAACAAAAGGACATTCCTACAAGGAGACATTCCTACATGGCTCCGCAGAGGAAAGAAGAAAGGCACAGAAGAAAGTGATTAGAGAGAAGATATTAAATGATAGAAATATAATTTAAAAATTAACAAGAGTTACGCCTAAGCTATGTCTTGATGTAAAATATGGAGATATATCTTACTGTGGTAGTCAATTTAGAACCAACCTAAAATAGTGTCCTTATTGGAATATGCATATTTTTTCATCTAATTTATGCAAGACTTCACAAAGGCACCAATGGCCTCGTAAAAGCTTTATAATTAGAATGTTCCTAGTACCACACTTTACTAATAAAAGGCATCTTATCAATGGAACAGAGGCAAAGCTATTCATCCTCTATTAAGTTTTCTGTTATTTAGTATGCATCAAGAGAGGCTGGTAATTAAGCATAAAGGAGGAGACAGGGGTGATGCTAACAACTGAACAAAAACAAATGGAAGTGTTTCCTGGACAGCCAAGGTTTGTTGGACTAAATCACCATCTTTCATAGGAAATCCTAAAAAAGAAATGCAATTTAAAACATAGCTAGAAGAAGGTAGCTTTTAGAAGGAAAATTAAGAGCTTTGCGTGTTCTTCTGCATTCTAACTATCTTTCAGTTCTTCCCAGGGGGCACCCAGTCACTCTCATTGATTTGTGGGAGGAAAATCAAATAAGCCTAAGCCTTACCGCCTCCACTTCGGCAGGGTCATACCAGACATTGATGTACGGATGCTGCAAGGCGTCGTCCACTGATATCCTCTTCGCTGGGTCAATCACTAGCATCTTTGACAACAAGTCCCTGGCTTGGCTGGCTGAAACAATGAATGAGGAAAAAAATTAGTAAAATTTGGATTTTGGCAAGGGAATTTTTCAAAGGGAGAAGAAATTAAAACAAAAACAAAAAAAAAAGATCAACTAGCACCTTCCTTCCAAACATCAGGTAACTTTACCAAATGACTAGAGAAATACAAAACGAAACAATGAAATATCTTTATCCAGCAAATCTGCAAAAAAGATGGCATAATATCCACTAACACCAGGTAATTTCATTCATGTTGGTGGGAGTGTAAATTGATAATCGATACAGATTTTCTAGAGGGCAGATTTGGCAGCTATTAAAATTTTAGATGTGAATACCTTATGACTTAGCAGTTCTACTTTTAGATATATAGCCTAGAGAAACAATTGCACATGTTCATGGAAAGCATACAGAAAGGATGTTCACTGCAGCATTGATTAAGGATTTTAAAAAAAAAAACCTTTGAACAGTATAAATTCCCACCGAGAGAGCAACAGAATGACCTATGGTACCACTGTGCCAGGGAACTGTATTTAGCAGTTTAAAAGAATGAGGTAGATCTATGAGTACTCACGTGGACATGATGTTAAGTGAAAAAAAAATTGTAAAATGATCCGCTGATCCTGATGCCATTTCTATAAATCTGCCCCTTCCCAATAAAATAACAAATATTTATTTCCCTTTCTCTGTATTTATAAACATAAATGCATAGAAGAGGTCTGCAAGGATAATCAACAAACTGAAAATCATAGTTACCTTCGGGGAGAAGAGAATACGTGAATGCATTGCTTGCATAAATAAAAATAAATTTAAAAGAATGATGTTTTCTAAAAGGAAACAAAGTGGGTATACACTGCTCACTTTAAAACTTCTGATCTGGGAAAAGGGATAAAGCATAGTCTAGAAGTAAGCAAGGAAGCCAGGGGTGACTTTTTTGGGGATGGGAGAGGTGATGAGGGCTTTAATGGGCACAGACACTTCAAAGATTGAAAGGAGGGGACATATTTGAGGGAAAGAATCCACAAACCTTAGTAACCAAATTGATGTGAGGGATCTGGTTCAGTTTTTTAATTTAATTTAATTCAACTTAATTTAATTTAATTTTTAGTACTTTTATTGTGATACAGTTCCTATATAGAAAACTACACATATTTCAGACGTACAATTTGATGAATTTTGACAGATGTATACACACATGAAACCACCACCACAATCAAAATAGCTAACATTTCCATCACTCCCCAAGAGGTGCAATTTTCCAATTCCCAATATATAAGATATACATTGTCTACTGTGTGCCAGGTACAGTGGGAGGTGCTAAGGATACAAAAAAATTACATGGCAATAACCAGTAAGTGGGCTTATTTAATGACATTGCTAAAGGACACTCAGTTTTTAATCTCTAAAAACATATAAAATTTTACAGAAAATACAGATCCAAACTAATTTGAAAGTTTTATGGTGAAAATTTCAATTTGTTCCAAACATAAGGTAAAAGTTCTAATTAAAGAAAACAAAATCTAAACTGGTTTGCTGAATTAGGAAAAAGGCCAAGTTTGAATCCATGGATATGTACCTATTTTTAATTATCAATTCTTTTGATTATTAAGAAAATATAGCTTAATTTTTTTAAATTGGAGATTATATAAACCATAAAATCTAGAAAAATCAATCATCTTCACCATCTAAAGGCAACCACTCTCATTAGTCATGTATTCGCTTCTAGTCCTATGTATTTTTTCATAATTTTGATTATACTACAGTCACATGTCTGTGACATTAGTATTTCTTATATTGTTACATTTTAATAAAAATACTTTTCTATATTTATTTATATTAATTATATATTTATTAAAAATCACAACTTAAATTAGAATAGAAGATTTTTTATTTTTATTAGTCATTTTCATTGGGATCTCAATTCTACAGATTTAAATTATGCTACTTCCAAACTGACACTCCAAAGTTCATAAGAATAATAAAAGTACAGAAATACTTATATATTAATTTTCAGTATTTAATATTTCTCATTGTTAATGATCCCTTTATGCCCTAATGGGGCTGTATTTATTTATTTCATTGGTTCAAGGATCTCTTTGATTTGTAAGTGATTTTATACCCACACTCACACACTGCTGCAGGTTCTCCCATAAACATGCCCATGTTTCTACTCTTAGAAAGGTGGGGTTGGGGTAGGTTCCTCACCAGTAGGGGCATGAACTGCAGTAATACCAAGTCATCTCACCAAGAAACACTGATCAGTACTGCTTGTACAAGGAACAAAATGGGGAAGAGAAAAGGCTTCAATTCCTCATCCTTCATTCTTTCATTTGTAAGTAAATGTTTTACACTATTCAGTGGCAGTAGAATAAATTCTTCCCTTTGATTATCTGTATACTTCTTTATAATCTGCCAATTTTTATATTAAAATCATAATTTAATAATTGTAAATATGTAATAATAGTTTATTATCTGCAAAAATAATATAACCATACAGGTTCAAATTGAATTAAAAAGCCAAAAAATAAACTCAAGAAAGTTGGAATTATACCATGAAGCACGTATTTTACTTAATAGTTTTTCTACAAGTGCTTTCATGATCCCAACTAATTTAATCAGGGTTTTGTGGTCTCCGTATTGTTACACTTCAAGTGTCTTAACAGGAAGGGATTACTTTTACCTGACTTGTCAATTAGCATCACAAAGACATCTCAAAATCTCTACTTGGGGTATTAGCTTTTGCTCAATCTGCATATAGGCAATGTTGACCTTAAAAACAGTGGTTTTAGTAATAATTTAGTCTGTTACCATTCAGAGAGCCAGTAGAGACAGCTGAAGGAGGAAACTCAACTGTGCAACAAAAGTGTCATGAACGAAGAAACAACGCTGCACATTTAAAACGCACCTTATGGAAGTCTGAGATAATAAGACCCCGGGAAATTGTAGCATCGCATTGCAGTTCCTCCATCTCATTTAAGTATATTAGCTATAAAGTCTGTGAGTTAAATCTGTAGCTAATTAATTGCCCACTGAACATTTGGGGGAAATTTTCAAAAGTATGTGTCCTTTTTTTTGGATAATGTACAGGTATATTTAAAATAATGACTATTATTAATAAACATTAATTATTATTTTTATATGTAACAGTTACTGAGCGTTTACTGTGAGCCAAGCACTGTTTTAAGTGCTTGACAAATTAGTCAACTAATTCTCCCAATGATCCTCTAAGGTAGACAATTTCTACCTTCATTTATTAAAGGAAGTAGAGAAAGATTAGATAATTGGCCCAGGTTCACACAGATTTTAAGGGACAGGATTTGAGCCCAAGCAGGAGAAAAAAAACATCAAATTTGCTTCAAAAGCACATTCTCTGAAATGTCCTAAATTAAAAAAAATAGAATATTATTTATAGTATACATTAAACATTCCCAAATTTATTCCATGTCTTCAATCCTATAACTAAGGCATTATGATCCCAGTTTTGTGGGTGAAGAAACTAAGATCTGTTACTAAAGTTCATAACTGCAGACATAATAGTAGAAAAAATTACTTATTAATGAAAGTGTTTACACTGCATATCAAATGTGTAGGTAAAAATCTCATTTGTCACACTAAAGTGAAAAAATAGTGGTTAAGCATTCTATAAAATAAAAGAAACTCAAACATCTGTATCTCCAAGATTTTACAATCAAAAACTTGTGTTGAAAATATTTTACAGGTAATAAAAAGAACTGGAACAATTATCTCCATGTATATGACATTGGTGTTTTAGAGTTAACATTGCAATAAAATTTTGAGATTCTAAATAAGTCCCATGAAGCAGTTAATCATCCC